TCTGCTCGCTCACAGTGCTGCTCTCAAACCAACGCTGCCCGGGGCCTCCAAGCGAAACTGAAGCAGCAGAAATCCAAAATTTGGATTTCTGAGCCTGAACTGGGGATATCAACAGCCAGAATTTGGGATAGAAGGTTTGGCCTGGCCGAACGGTCATGGAATCACTGAGGTTGGAAAAGAAACACCTTTGTCTGGAGGCACAGAGCCCTCACCTGAACACAGCTCGATTTTCATCATATCTCGGGCAACAAAGCTCTGCTTGAATCCAGGCTTAGCAATAGAAGGTGAAAATTAATGCCAAATGCCTCCAAAATATCTCAACATCACTAGCCAGCCACTGGGAGGAAACAGAGAGTCCACATCTCTGAAATGATGAGAAAAATACAGGAAAAAACAAAGTGACAGTCATTAGACTTGGCAGGCTCTCTAGAACAGCAGCAGGACAATTAATGTCTACATTACACCCTGTGACTAATCCACTTATTTCAGGAAAAAAAAAAAAAAAGAGAAAATTTTGTTGGATGGGTACCAGGTGATTCAGGGCAAAAGAGGTGCTCCAGGTGTTATGCTAGGGAATGGAAACAGCTCTCACTCCAGTGACACAGCCACTGATGAGTTTCCTCAGCCAAGAGGTTTCATTAAAATAAACCTCTTGTGTCCTGAGTCTGAGAGAGAAGATCTCCTGACATTCACAAGCTGCTATGTGAATTTTAGTGTCTCCTTAGGTTTTGCCATCTAGATAAAAAGAGACAAAAATTTTAAAAATGCCATAGGGAGATTCTAGTGCAACCCTGTTAAAAAAGCTTGGTTGTGACTTGGTGAGTCTGATGGAATTAGCTAAGAAAATAAAATAATCAGTTGAGTAAATGATCTCCAGAGTATATTCCTTTAGTTATATAATTGGAATTTGGTGCAAGCAGTGGGGCTTGGGCATTAAAAGACCCCATGGCCAGAACTGGCAGCAGAAGGTTGTGCTCAGCTGCTGAATTCAGCTTGATGTCAATGCATGTCTGTGGCATTCTATGGCAAAGCATGGAGAGAAAGTAATGAAAACCAGAAAAATGGTGTTTCTTACCCATACCCTGCAAACCCTAACTGGGTTTTGAAATCTCAATCTACATGATAAATTGTTATTAACAAATAAAAAATGGAATCTACTTGCTGGCTACTTGAGATGCAGAAACAAAACCATGTTTATTTATACCCCGTTATAAATATTTTTGTGGCGGGTTCCTGGGAAGGAGGACTACAGAGCTGAATGATCTGCTTCACTCTACAAAATTAGAATGGAAGGATAAACAGGACAGGAAATCCAGCATACAAACAAGCAAACAAGGACTTTGTTTCTGAGCTTTGCTTTCAACCCCTGTTCTGGCCAAATAGGTGCCTTGGTGGTACTGGGAACAGCATGAAGTCAGGAATTCAAAGACACCATGCAATTATTTACTAAAAAATACACATACATTTCAAATCAAATTGCTTTTGATCCCTTCTCTTCCCATTAAAGAAACCTTGAGGAGAATTTCTCAGGGATGTGCAGTTTTGTCAGAGCTCTGAGCACTTTCAGCTGTTTGCTCATTCCCCTCTCCCAGTGGGATGGGGGAGACAATTGGGGGAAAATAAAATAAAATAAAATAAAATAAAATAAAATAAAATAAAATATAGTCTTGGGGTCCCCAGCCTCCTCACTGGCAGGGCAGCACAAGGAGCTGACAAATCCTTGATTGCGTGTGAATGGCTCAGAACCATCATTGTCTTCTCAACATTATTCTCATCCTCAACCCAAACAAGGCACTGTACCAGTTGCTAGGTACAAAATTAACTGCCCCAGCCAGAAGCAGTGCAGGGTGTGATTCTGTCATTGGGTTGACATTTCTAAGGGATTTTCTCATGGTGCTGCAAACAAAATATTTTTTATTGGTTGGGTTGAGTGCTGGGTGAACAAGCACATGGCTGACAGACACACCAGGAGGAAATGAAATACCCCAAAACCAAAGTCAGACAGTTGTTCAAAGGAAAAAGCTGCCAAGTGATGGTTGGTGTGTCTTGTCTGAGGGCAGAGCAGGTGACAGATATAGGCAGCCCCCAGAAAATTGATTTAAAAGAGCAAAAGAAGTGTCCTTCACGTGCTCCAGGTTCTTGACACCCTTGTGTTTGCAGGCACCAGCCTTCACTGGGAGATTGGCATAACTGATCCCCTACAAACCAAACAAAAAACCAAAACAAAAGGCCAAATAAACAATTTCAGCTTACTTTTTGGCCTTAATTCCTTGTATTTTTTAACTGGGACATGAAAGGCAAGAAATCCCAGGTCTTGCTTTTCATGTTTTCATGCATCAGTGATAAATGTTTATGTGGCATTTGGCTGTTTGCATTTCCAGCATATTTCAGTCTGATTTATAAATGTGCACAAGACATTCTGAAAGGCTGGGTAAGTCCTGAGAAGCCAAACTCCTCACAACTGCAAAGCATACAGCCATGGAGGAGAAAACAAATTAAATAGTTTTGTGATCAGCAACCAAAAGTAATAAAAATTGAACAAAACTCTTCCTTCTGGAAAGAAGATTTGGAATGTCTTTCACCTCTTGACATTTGTGTGAGAGCTGAGAAGGCTCCTGGCTGGGATTCAATCTCTTGGATGACATTTGTGGTTTTGCCTGGTTTAGGGTGTGTGTTAATGGAAGGCTAAAAATTGAAATAACAAGCCTTTAGAATAGATTATGTATTTCAGCCTTAAAGATTGCAAACAAAAGGTCTTTACAGCTAAGTGTACTTTGAATTTGGATTTATTCAATCTAGAGAAGTTAAAACTTAATGAAAAATATATTAATCAATGCTCAGAATAATTAGAATATTGTATAGCCCCAAATTGTTGTGGTAAGATCAATTTTTATATTTCTTTTCCAGAGATGATCCATTCTCATCAAATTAAATCTACCTTCCTTTCAATAAACCTTGAAATATTTCTTGATGCCTCACTCACCTTTTCACTCCAGCTCACAAAATTTTGAGGCATTAGATAAATGGTTTTAGAATGATGTGAGAGGAGAATTAAAGAGGAGAAAAAAATGATAAAATAATTGTGCTAAACAACTCGTGACATGAAAGTTGAAATTGTTTGTTAATCCTTTAACAGGTGTTAGGATTACAAAGCTGTTCTAAGGCATTGCAGCAGAATTTATTGAAGATAAAGATATCACAGCTTCCCACAAGTGGCACATGTGAGTCTGTCATCAGTGAGGCATTTTGGTGGCTCATAAAATGTAAGGTTTGCCCTGCATCCACCCAGTGAGTGATGCTGACCTTTGCTCTGACATTGGGCCCTGTGAAATCAGCTCCTTCAGTGCCAACCTGGCAGGAAAACCATCAGGAACAGAAACAACAGCCAGGAGGGTGACAGCACCAACCACTGGTGTGAGGGAATTGTCAGCAGCAGGGGTAAGAGATTGAAATATTTATAATTTTAATAATTATAATATTTATAACATTACACTTAATATAATTATAAATTAATATACTTTATCTTATCTAATATTTATAATATTTATAATTATATTTTAATATATTGAAGTAATTTTTATATTAAGATATCTAGAAGTTCCCTGTGGAGTGTTTCAGAAGCAGAGGCTCAGACCATCACTTGGAATTTTCAATCAAACAGACCACACTCTTCAACACAGTAAAACATTTGTATTTTAAGCACAGAGACATTAATTTGAGGGACAAAATAGATTTCTTGCTTTGTAAATATTCCCTCCTTTGATTATAAATTACACTGCTCACAGACCAGATTAATTTTAGCTTGGAAATCTCTGCATTTTATAAATAAGCCCAGACCCATCATTGTTTCAATGAGAAATATAGCACTAAAAGCAATACTCAGAGTAATTAGAATATTGTGTAGCCACAATTCTTGTTGCTAGAAGAGCCCAGCCCTATGAGTGAAATTTCTGGGGTTTGATCTCAGCTTATTGAAGGTCAAGGCACAAAGAGCTCCAGTTTTAAAGGGATGGCTCCCAGATCAAAGTCAGAAATAAGCAAACTCACAGATTCATTGCTTTCAACTATTTGGACAGGCTTCACATTAGCAGGGATGACAACTCAACTAAACAAACTTCATAAGCAGAACACAACTGAGGAAATGAAATATTTCTCAAGAAGGCTGGGAGTTTGCTGTCATGGGATTATGGGATCATTTAGCTTAGAAAAGACCTTTAAGATTATTGAGTCCTACTGTTAACCTAGCACAGAAAGGTCCACCTAGAAACCATATCCCCAAATCCACAATCAGACTGGAGCTAATTAGCACAATCCAAGGAGCTATAGCACTAAAAAGGATTACAGGGATCTCTCCTTTGGAACAGCCAGGGAAGTTAGACTTTTTAAAACATGCGTGAAAGCAGAAGCTTGCAAGGTGAGGATCTCTTCCTTTTTATGGCAAAATTCACAAAACCAGATTCCAGTTTTAAAGGGATGGCTCCCAGATCCAAGTCAGAAATAAGCAAACTCACACATTCATTCACTGCTTTCAATTATTTCGACAGGCTTCATATTAGGAGGGATGACAACTCAACCAAGTAAACTTCATAAGCAGAAAAAAACTGAGGGAATGAAATACTTCTCAAGAAGGCTGGGAGTTTGCTGTCATGGAATCATGGGCTCATTTAGGTTAGAAAAGGCCTTTGAGGTTATTGAGTCCTACCATTAAACTAGCACAGAAAGGTCCACCTAGAAACCATATCCCCAAATCCACAATCAGACTGGAGCTAATTAGCACAATTCAAGGAGTTACAGCACTAAAATGGATTACAGAGAACTCTCCTTTGGGACAGCCAGGGAAGTTAGACTTTTTAAAACGTGGGTGAAAGCAGAAGCTTGCAAGGTGAGGATCTCTTCCTTTTTATGGCAGAGTTGGCAAAAGCAGATTTCACTGAGACATGACAGAGCTGTGGCTTTTCTTGGAGCCCGTTGGTCACCCTTGGAGCAAACGTGAGAGAGATTTATTCATCTTTCCCAGCGCTCTCACTGGGAGCATCCCCTCCTCGGAGCTGGAGGGGCCCAACCACCACATCCACTTGTTCCTCAGCAGGGCTGGTGTCCCTCTTGGGCCTGGAGCTGCAGCCCCTGTAGCAGTGGGAGGAGTAGTCCCCGAGCCTGCAGACCAGCATCTGGCACTTGAGGTACACCGACGGGTGCCGGCTCATGAACTCGAAGGCGTTGAACTTGAACCGAGCAAAGTGGCTGGAAGGGGAGTAGTAGGTGGCATAGGAAGAATCTCTAGGACACCTAGAAAGGAGCAAAAGAAGGGGATTATCTTCATGGATGCATACATGCGCATTCCCGCAAAATTAAAATTCAAATTATTTGATTTATTATGATAAATTCCCGCGAAATTCAGATTAAAACTGAATCGTGTCATAGTCGGGTAATAGGAAAGCAGCGGGATGAAAATGTAACCTTCATAGCATAGTATGGACTTAAAAAATATAGAAATATATAAAATATATAATAAAATATAAAAAATATATTTTAAAGTACTATGACGCAGCTGGAGGGTTGGAAACTCTTCTTTTTCCAAGAGAAGGACACTTTAGGTGATGAAGAGGGAACAACAGACTGTTGTTAATGTCAGTGTTATACAAGGCCTAAAAAATTAGTCTAATGCTTGACCTGGTTTTACTAAAATATTTAACTCCTAGGATGAGAAATCCTACTGCCAGTTTTCACTGTGTCCACTTTTCTCCCACTACTTCGAATTTTGTTCACAGGACAAAGAAGGAGTAAGTGAAATGAAAGTAAGGTCTAAATATAATTTCTTATTTCCAAGTTCATACTGCAAAAAGAAAAAAAAATCAAAGACCACTTTTCTCGGTCTATTGACAGGGAGTTCTAACCCCATTCAGATTGGCTGTATTATTTTAAATAAATGTGGACGACGGGTGTGCTTCTAGCTTTGAAGACAGCTCTTACCCATTCCTGACTAAGTAATAGGCCAGCGTGTTAAAATCCCGGGGGTCAGGTGCTGCCACACAGGTGTCCACAACCACCTTCAGGTTTGGGTCCGAGCTGTGGAGACAGGCTTGCAGGTAGAGGTTTTGGTTGAGGCCGATGTAGTAGGGAGAGGCGCGCACTTGGCGCTGGAACGCCGGGGACTCGTAGAAGGTGATGTTCATGTTGTATCTCCCAAACTGGTACTCGTCCACATCCACGGTGTCCTCAGCGGCGTACACCACCTGCTGCCAGCTCTTCCTCAGCATTTTGCAGCTGACGTGCAAGTTGATGTTCTTCTTCCTCTTGATTATGTACCCGGAAGATGCGACCCTGATGGTGTTGGAGTAGTTGATGGTGTCGTTGTTCTCCTGTTTAATGATTCAATTTCAAATCAGGAATTGTGCTTTTATCATGTGCCACTGTCATATTTCCTGAAAAATCCCTTCGCCAGGATTTCTTCTCCTGGGAAGATGAGAAGCCTCAGCTCCTCCTGTGTTTGCTGCTCTGAAATGTGGTCTGGAGATTGTTTATCCAAACACGTGAATTGCTTTTACTTAATGACCAGTCACCATCAGCTGTGTCAGACTCTGAGGAGTCAGTCACGAGTTTTATTATCCATTCTTGTTAAGCCTTCTGTCTGTATCCTTTTCTTTCTTTAGTATAGTTTTAGTATAGCATTCTTTAATATCATATCATATCATATCATATCATATCGTATCGTATCGTATCGTATCGTATCGTATCATATCGTATCATATCGTATATATCATTAATATAATATAATATAATGAAATAATAAATCAGCTTTCTTAGAACATGAAGTCAGATTCCTCATGTCTCTCCTCATCCTGACCCCTCTCAAACAACACAGTCATGTTCCATCTAAGTCTTGCCAAGCTTAGATATGCAATTGAGTGCCCAAAACACAGAGTTTACCTCTTGTATTGTCCCACAGCCGTTGTAGGGGATGTTGAATACAACCTCCTGTGAGGTGACTGTCGGTCTGCAGTGATTGTCATTCAAGGTGACCCTCCGTGCTGAGTATCCCTGGGACTGGAGGTAATCTCTGCTGACCACTACATGCATGTAGTCTGGCAAGCACTGAATGGCTGGTAGGAGAGGAAGGTACAATGTATTTGTGAATTTAGGTATTTGGTAATGATTAGAGACAGTTTTTTTCTGAATTTAGAAGTCAGGTGGTTCCCACCCCAACCCACTCTATTTCACATCCATCATTCAATTTCCACAATTCAATTTCCAACAATCTTTAAATTTACACAGATATTTATTCTGCAAACAAAAGCAATAAATAGGCTTGTCTGTTGGGAAACACTGGCCAGGAACTTACTGGTGTTGTGACCTGCTGGAATGGAGGAGTAGTGAGCCTGAAAGCCTCTGAAGGAGAATCTGGAATCACTGTGGAAGCGAACACTCATCATGTTTGAAGAGGACACGTATGTGGGAAAGGAGCCAGAACAGAATCTCCCAAGAAGAGGGGAAGAGTGGAGAGGTCCATCATAGACTTCAATGTAGTCGTGCTGGCACATCCCGCTTTGCATCCTGGTAGAAAAACATCAGCAATTTATCAAATCCATTTCAGAAACTCTGATTTCACTGCCTAACATGTGATAAAGTCTTTCAGCATTTAAAGTTTTCTCAGCACAAATTTAATTTGGCTTTTATGCAGCTCTAGCAGAAGATGGTGAGTAAAAAATGCAACATCAATCCAGATTTTGGTCTGGTCTTCCAACTGTGGATGTCATTGGAAGTATCTTTGAAATTGGGAAGGTTGGTTGTTTCAAATAAGATCTCAAACTTGTCAGGTAAGTTTTAACTTTGATATTTGCCCAGGGAATCAAGGTTTTACTTACACAATATCTCTAAATGTCAGTGTTACACGGAAATTATTCTCCACTTGTATTTCCCACACGCAGTCAGCGTCGTTTGGATAATTTCCTGGGTAGTTGGGACTCTGCAGCACCCCAGAGGGATCTGAGACTGAGCCACCACAAAAATAAGGTGCTGCAGAAAGAAATGGGAAAGAATTTACTGTTACAGTAACCTCTGCAAAAGTGCACTTGTGCTGTGTGTGCCTCACCCACAGTTATTGAAAAGCTGGTCTCCTGCTGACTGCAGGTGGTAGATATGGGAACTGAGTCAAAACTAATATTTGTTTTTGCTTTCATGTTGGATTTGGAATTCCCTCGGGGTGGATTTCCATCCATGGTGTCAGACTACCCTCTTCAGGCTGGGCTGGTAACACCTGGATGCTTTCTGCCCCTTTTTAGATTTGAGGTCAATTCTGGGAGGTGTCATGACAGTTGAAATGGAAGCACCTTCCTCAACAGACAGCCTCTCATCAGTTACTCTGCTACTTCTCTTTATTCCCCCAAGGTCTTTGGAGGGTAAAAAAGTTGCAAGTTTTCTAGAAAACAGCAACTTTCTGGTCTCAGACTGAAATAAGCCCTTCAGGCTGCTGTGAAAGTCCTAAGTACAAACATAGCTGCAAAAAGCTTTAGCGTTCCTGCCTGCAATAATGACATAATTCTTGTCACAGGTAATCCTAAAAGTGTCTTTGTAGGAAGGTGAGCACAGCCTCTGAATATAAATGCTGCAAGATGTGACATTTAAAGATGAAATCCATTTTATATTCTGCTTGGAAAAGATCACTCACACTTGCAGCGATATTGTCATAGAGACAAAAGACAAATTTACAGAAATGTGCAACAGGGAGACAGACAGATCACAAATAAGCAAGGTGAGGAGAGCCACAGCTCTGGTGGAGGTGGTTGAGGTGGCCACTGGAGCTGTGGGTGTGAAGGAAGAAGAGAGACATGTGAGAAGTGCAATTTGTGAGAAAGGAACTGAGGCCTGGACAAGGCCTCGCCTTGAGGCACAGAGTGACAAAATGGGGACCACAGAGAGGCAGGGAAGTGAAAACAGGAGATGAGGCACAGAGGGCCCTGAGCTCCAAGGGAGACCCAGTTGAAAGCACTGCAAATGGCTGGATTCTAGTTTCTTCTGATCATATCCCAAAACCCAGAGTATATCTAGAAAACAACTCTGGCACAACTAGTACAGGAATTGAAGGGATGAAGGCAGATTGACTCCTGGATGCAGTGAGAGGCAATTCCTGTGCAAAGAGTTTCATTGAACCAGCAATGATTGCAAAGTTTCTGGACTCAAGGCACAGCTGTGCCATTTGCCAGCTCTTCCCCATGCTCTGTTTGCATCCTCACTTTAGTTTGGGGTGGCCTAAGAGGAGAGGCCCAGGGCTGGGAGACTGCCTGCAGTGCAAGGAGCTCTGACAAGGGAGAGGAGGAGCAGTGGGGAGGGCAGTGAGTGAGAGTGGACAGGGTTACCTGGTGTGCTGCTCATTGCTGTGCTAGCCACTGTGCTTGTGGTGGTCAGCAGTGCTGGGCTGGACACCTCCGTTGTGTCCGAGGCTGGTGCTGTGGTGGTCATTTCCAGAGGGGTGGATGTCTCTGTAAGTTGAGGATGTGATGAGTTCAATGGCCATGAAAAGCAGAGGAGGAGGCCCAATGCCAGGCAAGAGGGTGGAGCTCTTTCCTTCCTTTCCCCCATGCTGGCACCAGCCTGACCTGTCCCCACTCCTGCCCCATCCTCTATAAAGAACAACCTTTCAATTCACAGCTTTACCTCATCAGTGGATGCCAACAACAGGAATTGTGGAGATCCTGCTGTTCCCCCGTCTGTGCAGGAATGGGGATTTTGGATGGCATGGGCTGGAGTCTCAGGCAGCAGAAGAGCCCAGCCTCACCTCCGCCCTGGCCTGATCCCAAACCCTGTTAGAATGATATGCCAAAGATCCAGAGTTCCCTGCTGGCCACTCACCTGCACAGATGACACTGGCATCCTCCACGTGCCCGCAGTTGTGCACGCCCCAGCCATTGTGCTGGCACATCTGCAGGGAGGGCTCGTCCCCGCGGCACTGCACGTCGTCCAGGAAGATGCGGCCGGAGCCCGGGCCAAAGCGAGCGTTGCGTGGGGCTTCCAGGGGCTCTCCACAGCCCAGCTGCTGGCACAGCACCTGGGCATCCTGCATGTCCCACTGGTCATCACACACGGTGCCCCAGGTGCTGCCGTCGTACAGCTCCACGCGGCCCTCGCAGCCGTTCCTGCCGCCCGACAGCCGCACGCCGGGCCCTGGCACACGGCACAAGGCAGGGATTGGGGTCACTCAAACCCAGCATCCACAGTCCCCACCACCTCTCCTACTGTTTTGGAGATTTGGTCACAGTAACCATGGTCTGCGGTGGTGCAGACGCTGACTAGGAGATAGGAGACGAGAGTGACTGAGGAAAGACCCTGCGTATGGAGATGGCACAAGTGCCCTGTCCAGGGACCTGCTAGATGTCCCTGGGGACAGAGATGCTCAAGACCCTGTGTCATGTGCAGAAAAGCCCTTTGCTACCTGTGCATGAGGCCCATTCACTGTGGGGGACATTCATGCAGCCTGGAGATGTCAGGGGAATAGGGGAACAGCAGCACTGCACTGACCAGGATCAGCCCTGTCGGATACCCCTCTTATTGGGGCTGGCTTTAAAATTGGGCCTAAGCTGGGTGGGCTGGACTTACCTGTTGTGAGCAGCCATTGAGGAGGAAGGGTTGGCTGGGGAACTGCAACAAAGAACAGGCAGTCAACAAATGGGTAGTGAATGCAGCAAGATTGTTACAATGGATGGACATGGACATAGACAGACATGGACAAAGACATGGACGCGCACAAATATGTGGGTGTGGATGTGGACATGTACATGGATGTGGATGTGGACATGAAAACCCAGGCTGTAGGATGTAAAGGGGATGAGAGGAGGGAGTTCTGTCCAGCCTTTCTCCCATCCAGACACCACTCTGATGTGCTCCCAGTCCTGCTCCATCTTTCCCACTCTACAGTCTCTCAATGTGTTTTCTGTGACCTCATCACTCAGCCCCAGCTCTGCCCAGAGAATTCAGCCTGCCTGCCTTCTGTGGAGGAGCCCAAAACCCTTCAGATGGTCTCTGCTGGCCACTCACCTGCACAGATGACACTGGCATCCTCCACGTGCCCGCAGTTGTGCACGCCCCAGCCGCTGTGCCGGCACATCTGCAGGGAGGGCTCGTCCCCGCGGCACTGCACGTCGTCCAGGAAGATGCGGCCGGAGCCCGGGCCAAAGCGAGCGTTGCTTGGGGCTCTCAGGGCCTGGCCACAGCCCAACTGCTGACAGACCACCTGGGCATCCTGCATGTCCCACTGGTCGTCACACACGGTGCCCCAGGTGCTGCCGTCGTACAGCTCCACGCGGCCCTCGCAGCCATTCCTGCCGCCCGACAGCCGCACGCCGGGCCCTGGCACATGGCACAAGGCATTGATTTGAGTGTCTCCAACCCAGCATCCACAGTCCCAACTTCCCCTACTGTTTTACAGATTTTTGCCTCTGTGACTTTGATCTGGGGTGTTGCAGATCTAGGGAGATCAGGGAAGGGCAGTGACTGTGCAAACATTGTTGGAATACAGTTGGCAGACGTGACTTCCTCTGGCCTTGCTGCCACTGTCCTGATTCCGATCCCTGGGGACAGAGATGCTCAAGAGCCTGGCTCACGTGCAGAAAAACCCTTTGCTACCCTTGCATGTTGCTCATTCACTGTGGGGGACAATCATGCAGCCTGGAGATGTCAGGGGAATATGGGAACAGCGGTATTTCACCAACCAGATCAGCCCTGTTGGACACTCCTCTTATTGTGCCAGATTTGGGCTGGCTTTAAAATTGGGCCTAAGCTGAGTGGGCTGGACTTACCTGTTGTGAGCAGCCATTGAGGAGGAGGGGTTGGCTGGGGGGCTGCAACAAAGAACAGGCAGTCAACAAATGGGTAGTGAATGCAGCAAGATTGTAATAATGGATGGACATGGACATAGATATGGACACGGATGTGGACGAAGATGTGGATGTGGACATGTACATGGATGTGGATGTGGACATGTACATGGATGTGGATGTAGATGTGGACATAAAAACCAGGCTGTAGGATGTAAAGGGGATGAGAGGAGGGAGTTCTGTCCAGCCTTTCTCCCATCCAGACACCACTCTGATGTGCTCCCAGTCCTGCTCCATCTTTCCCACTCTACAGTCTCTCAATGTGTTTTCTGTGACCTTGTTACCCAGCCCAAGCTCTGCCCAGAGAATTCAGCCTGCCTGCCTTCAGTTGAGGAGCCCCAAAACCCTTCAGATGGTCTCTGCTGGCCACTCACCTGCACAGATGACACTGGCATCCTCCACGTGCCCGCAGTTGTGCACGCCCCAGCCGCTGTGCCGGCACATCTGCAGGGAGGGCTCGTCCCCGCGGCACTGCACGTCGTCCAGGAAGATGCGGCCGGAGCCCGGGCCAAAGCGAGCGTTGCTTGGGGCTCTCAGGGCCTGGCCACAGCCCAGCTGCTGACAGACCACCCGGGCATCCCTCATGTCCCACTGGTCGTCACACACGGTGCCCCAGGTGCTGCCGTCGTACAGCTCCACGCGGCCCTCGCAGCCATTCCTGCCGCCCGACAGCCGCACGCTGGGCCCTGGCAAATGGCACAAAGCAGGGATTGGGGTCACTCCAAATCAGCATCCACAGTCCCCACCACCACCCCTACTGTTTTGGAGATTTGGCCACAATAACCATGGTCTGCGGTGGTGCAGACTCCGAAGACTAGAAGGGGACAGTGGCTGTGGAAAGACCCTGCGTATGGAGATGGCACATGTGCCCTGTCCAGAGACCTGCTGGATGTCCCTGGGGACAGAGATGCTCAAGACCCTGTGTCATGTGCAGAAAAGCCCTTTGCTAGCCGTGCACATAGCCCGTTCACTGTGGGGGACATTCATGCAGCCTGGAGATGTCAGGGGAATAGGGGAATGGCAGCATTGCATTAACTAAGATCAGAACCGTTGAACTCACTTCTCTTACCGTGCCAAAATGGGGCTGGCTTTAAAATTGGGCCTAAACTGGGAGATCTGGACTTACCTGTTGTGAGTGGCCATTGA